CCCCCCTGACCCCCCCGCATCCCCAAAAGTTTCTCAGCAGATTTGGGCTGTACTCAGCAAGCGCAGTACAGCCCCCAACTCAGATTTGAAAAAAAAACAGTGGATGGTTGTTTTCTGACTGGTCGGCAGACCACCGACCGGTCAGCCCTACTGGTCGGCTGCAATACGGTCGGCGGTCGGGGTCGGCGGTCGGCAGGGGTGCAACCCTGCTGGTAGGGTTAAAGGAGGCTGTTTCTCAAGAGCACCGGCAGGGGAGATTCATTGGACATCGATTCCCAATTGTATTCTTTAATTTTTGAAGAGCAGTAAAGTTGGGAGGAGGTGGTATGAGGCCGATGATCTGGTGGCGAGATGAGTGGAACATCACACTGAGAGTAATCTTGAAGAAGGTGTGAGTGAGTCATTGATGTAAGGGAAGCTGGACCCAGTTTCCAGCATAGATAATAAAACTTTCACTTTTCTCTCCTACTCTTCATCCTTGTGCTGCGGTTTAAGTACTTGTCTCGATTTGTTTTGAGTTTGGCATCATGGTTGAAGTTCCATTGAACTCAAACCATAACAGTACAGATCCTCTAGGCGCACGGTTGTTCATCTCACCTGTTTACGAGATGCTCTCCTGGCTGCATCTGTTTCATAAGGAGTACATCGAGCAGCGGAAAACCCTTTGCTGTCATCTCCACCACCTTCGTTTGAACTGTGCTCTTCATCATCTGTATACACATCTCCCCAAGCACCTCCAACGCCGCCTCTTCTTCGGTCCCCGCCAGATGCTCGGGATTTCGGCTTCAAAGACTCAGGATGCATTGTCTCCATGCCTGCTGAATCTGGGTGAGGTGTCCTATGCAAACAAGATTACATACAACCGCCCACAAGACCCCTTGCAAACCCAAGTCCCCTCCCTCCAAAGACACAACCCCATTGCCCTTCCCCCCCGAGCCATGAAAGAGTGGCAATCGGCCTCCTCATATGAGCACTGTCTTGAAAAGGACCCCAATCCAAATCACTGGCAGCAGCGAGTGACAGTTCACCTCCGATTTTGGGAGACAAGGACACACAATCAGTGAAAGTGTAACCCACCCAGAATCTCTCTCTCTCTCTCTCTCTCTCTCTCTCTCTCTCTCTCTCTCTCTCTCTCTCTCTCTCTCTCTCACACACACACACACACACACACACACACACACACACACACAAAAAACTTATACACATCTAGATGTGTATAAGAGACAGCAAGTGGGCAGTTAAGGCACACGGGGATGTGGGCAGCTGGCGCTCACCCACAATCAACGTGGGCAGCGTTGTACGAGAGAGGCACAGTAAGTATAATAAAGAAAGAGCTGCATAAGCATAAGGGCAATTTAACGGCAAAGACATATTTGCATGACGACACAGCAATATCACAGTTCTTGTGTGCTTCTTGATGTTTGCTGGGGAAGATTTCAGGTCAAACCGTTTGTTTCTATTGCGGATCTATTCATCTCGGTTGAAAAGATTTGGCATGTAGAAAAAACTAAAGCGTAGCAGTTTGTTTGTCCTTCAGGACATCAATTAAAATTGGAACGATACAGGGAAGATTAGCATGGCCCCTGCGCAAGGATGACACACATAAATCGAGATATGGTCCAATGTTTTTTTAAATAGGAAAAAAAGCCGAGATTGTATAAATTTGGATCTGCTCATGTGTGTGGAAAAGGGGTTGTTATGGGACAATTTACAGCACACACACAAACTTATCACACAAACATAAACTCATCACACACACACACACACACACACACACTGTTGTTCTTTGTTTCTTTGATGGCTGTGCCAGGAAAATGAGCGATAGCCAAATTCAGAAACCAAGCCACATCATAGTAGAAATTCAGGGAAATATGGTAGTTTCGGTGAAAATTTCGCCAAAATTCGCCGAATTTTGGGCTTTCCATTAACCGCTTCTCAGATTTCCTCATGATTGCTCTCCTTCTCCTCTCTGCTGCCTCATCTGCCGCTGTAACTCATCCTGAAGCTCTTCTGCTTGGAGGATCTCATAGTCCTCCGGTGTGAGTTGAGTCTGCCGGCTGACTCGCAAACCAGCAACCTGGCTAATGTACCCCTGAGGACCACTCTGACTAACTCCTGACGAAGTGGACTGCGAAGAGGTTTGCGACATGGTAGATGAAGTAGCCATGGTCGTACCGGTGCTAGCTGCAATCCTAGTCCTGGCACTAACCTCAGCTGCTCTCACTCTCCTTGCCGCTGCTCCCTCTCTAGCCTCTCTCCGCAATCTCCTCTCGTCTCCTGGACCTAACTCCAAGAATGTCAAAGGTCGACTGCGAGCAGTACCACGAGTAGTCCTACGGTCGTCCACTAACAACTCCTCCTCACTTGTGCTTGCATCACTCATGAGCTACAGTGTGTGTGATCTAAACTAGAATCCACACTGAATCCTACCTTAGCCTGACACACAACCGATTACGAATCACAACTAATTTTGGTCGGCCTGAACAGAAACAGTTAGGTGATGTAGTAGCAACTAATGTCAGATCCTACACGAAATATCATATCTATTTTTAGATTACCCTAGAACAGATTGCAATGCAGCAAAGAACTAATCTGTCTGCAGCTGTCGGTCAGTTGTTAGTCAAGTCTGTAACAACTAGATAATCAAAAATAAAAATAACATCTCTTGTTGGAGATGTATGCTGAATGGCAGATTGTCTATTGATTGCCACTGTGAACTGTTACCGGAATCACCCCTTCCCCTGTGTCCTTCTGGAGTGGTCGCTTTATGTCAACGTCCTGAGCATCTGGTTGAGCAGTGTGTCTGAAGGTGTGCAATCCGTCCCACCCCTGTGCCCCAAGTCAACGCCGAACCTGCCAGCCCCTACACATTATTTACCCTCGCATGCAACGAGCCTTACACCCGGTTTGATCTGGCTGATCAGGAGGCATTTAAGGAGATCCCCCGTAACTCCTCAGGAATTATTTAACGTCGCAGACAGGACGACGATCACAACCAGAGTCAACACCAAGTCCCCGCCAGAAATGTTTAAAGACGGTCTTGTAAGCGTCTGTCAAAGGGCTGGCATGCCCTGCATGACCTCTATTGCGCAAGCAGCAGAACCAAGGACTTGCGGCAAAGCATGCGTTTACTAGTCCCGGCGGGTTGGCATGGTGACCGTGACCCGAGTGCTTCGTCCAGGGCCCTTCAGAGGCTTCGCCCGTCTCCCACCAGCTTGCTGCCTAGGAAGAATGTCGACTCTCAAGGTTGAGCGCTCGCGACACCTCACATCGAGAGGACTCTCAAGACAAGACTCACTTCCTCACGGTAAGAAGCAATGAAGAGGGTAGATAAGGAAGGAAGCAACGTACCTCATAATGCTGCCCCCAACCACAGATTTTCTCACCGGCAACCTGATGTGCAATTATGATGACCGGTCTTTGCCTCGGCACAACCAACAGCAGAATGTGGTTCCACCTCGGCTAAATATGCCACATCAGCGAGCTCTCATCATCCAGCATACACCCCGTATGTCACCACATAGCTCCCTGGCGCGCCCACACGACCCTGGGCCGCCCTTCATTCAACGCCCAAGCCTTATCACTGCCCCACACCTCATGCGAAGCACCAAACAGCTATTGCGAAGAACCAATGAAGCGCAATATGAACCAGCTCCGATACCAAATTGCAAGGAAAATAAGCAACAGCGAGATGACAAATTCCAGATTACACCATCACATTGAAAGCCAGATAGTCACACTGTGTCCAGAGAGCAGCATTGCACCAATAACACACCAACGGAGGTTCTTAGTACTGAAAACCAATGTCAAAGAGAGCTTTCTCTCTCCGTCACAACACAAGAGTCCAGTCCCATCACACTCCTACTTGTCGCTCAGCGCCCAGCCTACTCCTACACAGCTACGATCAGCCTACTAATAGACAATGCAACCATCAGCAGCAACCCGAAGTACTTGAAGATGTCGCCCAAATGCAGACCATCGCCAATACAAGGTATGTGCCCTCACATCATCATCATCATCACCCTTCGCCCTTCCCTGACTTTAAACCCACGTCTTCCTCCCTTACACCCGAAGACTCATGCGCCTCACTGTAGTCCAAGCCCACCAGCTATGGTGGATGGGCTATGGCGCTGCCCTCAGCAGCGCCCTACTTCCCTGCACGACCGCACGTGCTGCACCTCGCCTCTCAACGCCAGCAGCAGCCCGCGACCATTTGCTCCAGCAGCGCTGCCGCTAGCATGCGAGTGCCTGAATGAGGCTGCCTGGGGAGATCTCTTTCCTTTATGGAAAGAGCTGGCCTGCTCATGCAGCCTGGCTGTACTGGCCTGGGCCCAAAAGCTTCCGGAAGGCCCCAGGATGCTGCCTTTGCGCTGCAGCTACTGGGCCTCGTTCGGTTGGGCCTCCCAACTGTCAGTGTATGAGGCTGCGATTCACGGCCAGGGCCTGCATTCTTTGGCAAGGCCCGGTAGGCCGTGGAAATATCTTGGTTGCTCGGCCTGTGTTTCTCTCAACCAACTGGCGCGTCGCAACTACCTGTACCCCAAATATGAAATTGACAGTAAAAGGCCTCTTGTGAAATGTTAGGCCCGCCTCCCCTTAGGCCTGCCGAGGACCCAGATCCTCGCACTAGGCAGAGTTGCGATAATCAGGAAGATAAATAATCTATCTATCAATCGATCGATTAAACAATAACAGATCAATCAATCAATCAATCAACTAATCAATCAATCAGTCGATCGGTCGATCGGGTTGATTGATCAATCGATAATCTGGGAGTCCAGATTCACGAGCGCAGCTCCGATACCAACTGACACATTCTCAGTCGAGCAATGTATATGGAGCCAAGGATCCGCAAAGTGATGAAAAGGACTCGTATGGAAAATGCAGTGTCAGCAAAGCATCAACCAGCAATGTACCTCTAGAAAATAGCACAAAGTAGCGCAACAGAAGACTCAAAGATGCGACCTGACCGATCAGATACTGACACGACCTCCCATCATACATCACACATGTGAGAGGAAGAGGAGGGACCACATACATGGAAGAAAGGTCCCTCCTCGTACACACACATGGGGAAGATACCACCGATGAGAGATGGGGAAAGAGGCAGGGCGAAGATGGGAGTGAGGAAGAAGACCAAGATCGTGATAGCGAAGTACAGAAATAGCCTCCCTGCCGAATGTCCAATCAATGTCTGCCACAAAATGTTGAATCAGATCCTGGGCCAATGCCCGATGAAACCTCTGCCTGTAACCTCTATCTCTCTCTCTGAAAGAAGAAGAAGAAGAAGGAGGAGAAAGGAGGGAGAAGACATGGAGGGCAAGACGAAGAAGAAGAAAGTGTCGTCCTCCTCGCTGCCTCACCTGCAGGTAACTGCCGCCATGTACTAACTGCAGTCGTGGTCCTGCGCAGGTCGCCGGCGTGGAGCACGGCTATGGCGCCCAGGTAAGTACCGGGTATGGCCTCCGCCCCTCTGCCTGCCTACACCTCTACCTCTACCCCAGCATAGCGCGGTAGCGCCGTAGTTCTGGTTCAGCAGCGTGTCGCCCAAAGAAGTGGGCTACTCCAACTCTCCGTCTGTCCTGGCCTGGCCCAGCTATAAGTAGTGCTGGGCCTCGTCGGTCTGCCTCCGTGTGCCTCTGGTCCTAGGCCAAAAACGTGGCCTACTGGGTCTGGGTCCCGACCGGACCTCCAGACCCTGCCTGCTGATGCAGCAGGGACGTCCGTAACTGGACGAGCACGAACCTGACCTCAAAGGGCCCTGCCTCCTGGTGTACCCAGCCCAAGGCGCAGCCTTGGGGACTGCAAGTCCGAAACAATGCCTGAACAGACAAAAATAAGACAGCAAACAAATAAATAAATAAATGAATGCTGTCGTAAATCAAATCCTGCCCCTAGGGGCCGCCGTGGGCCTCCAGGGTGCGCATCGAAAGAGCGGGCAGCCTAGGGGCCCCTCAGCAACCGTCGGGCCCCTGAAATGGGGCCCATGTGCAGGCGCAGCATGTAACTCTCTCTCTCTCTCTCTCTCTCTCTCTCTCTCTCTCTCTCTCTCTCTCTCTCTCTCTCTCTCTCTCTCTCTCTC